TCAATTTCCAAATATTATTTCTAAAAAAGAATCATATTTAGTATTTTTTTATTCTTATACAGATAATTTTGATAATACATACAAACACTTGACAATGCATCAAGAACATTTTTTTCATGACTCTAAATTTTCTACCCATTAACCCAAGGAGGCTATAGAACTTTCAGAGATAATCCATTTAAGAATGGTATTGTTTTGAAATTCTTGAATAACACTCTTACATTCTTCTACCATATCTTCTTTCAATTCAATTTCTTTGAAAACACTCCCTATTATAATTAATATAGTTAGTTTTCATATCTATATATTAACCAAAAATTTACTTACTTTAGCAAAATTAATCGTGGTATTTTTGAATTCACTTGCCTACTTGGAGGTAATATCTATGACTTCTATACTTAACAAATTATAATCGTCATTATCATACTTTAGAGCTAATTTGTCCAAGGCATTATAAATGTCTTGATAAGCATTACGTTCTTCATCAGAACATCTTCCATGAAGAATTCAATTCTAATTTATAACTACACACATTATTCAAAATCTCATTAAAAAATAATAATCTTAAGTTAAATACTTTCTACACTCCGCTTTAAGTTTAAAATATTTGTACAGTCTTCCTCCTCTATAATAACCTCCTATATAATCACAGCTCCCATACAATCACATTAATTTTTGAGACAATTTATTAAAAAACTTATAATAAAAAGCTTCTATATAATCACACTCTTTTATAATCACCAATGTTCTTAATACAAACTGTGTAATTATAGAGGAGGAAGACTGTAGTAATATCTTATATTTTTTCTTTTTTATGGGAAGAAGTAACAAGCATCTTATTTGCATGCAATGAATTCACTATCGAAACTACACTTTTAATCTAATAATAATAATAATAAATGATTAGATACAATTTAAATAAATTATTCTTAGCAATTGACCTAAACATATCAGATAAATTTGCATGCACTTTTTACTCCTGGGAGTATTGATTATTTGGCAACAAGGACAGCCCCACTTCGGAAATGTAAATAAGCACTACAACAAGGATGACCCCACTTCAGGAAGATTTAAAAAATCTAGATTTCCCTACTGAATCGCGGTTGTTGTAGTTAAGTACTTGCGATTAAAATATATTCTTACTGGACTGTGGTTGTTTAAGATCAGATCTCTAACTCATCATTTATGTGAAAATAACTCAGAAATTTATAAAAACATGCTTACGATTTCAGGAGTTTTTTTAAGAAGTAATAGTTTTTCTTTTCTTTGGTTTTCAAGTAGTTCATCTTGCAAAGCATATTCGATTGCATTATAAAATTTGTTAGCTTCCTTTTCTTCATTACCAGTCCACAGTTTTAACTCAATCCTATGGTAAAAAATAAGTGCTGGCTCAAGTGACTCAAAAGATAGACTTTTTAGATCGTAAGACATATTGATTAACTTCAGAACTTGTGAAATGGAACACAGATAGTCTGTGTTTTTCCAAATTTGAACAGTGTCGATCATCGATCATATGTTTCTGTTATGAATTAATTTTACCAAATTATGTTTACCAGAATTATGAATTAATTCTACCAAATTTACAAAAATTATATTAACAAAAATTATGTTTACAAATTATGTTTACAAAAATTATATTTACAAAAATTATGTTTATAAAAATTGTTTACAAAAATTATATTTATTAAAGTTACAAATTAATTCTACCAAAATTATGTTTACCAGAGTTATGAATCAATTCTACCAAAATTATATTTACCAGAGTTTAGAGTCATTAACTTACATGTAAGTTACTGTAAACTTACACTCTAACTTATCTGACTTATGTAAATTACAATAATTTACATGAAACTTACAGTAACTTATATGTAACTTATTATGTAAAGTATGTTGTCAGGTATGTTTTAACAACCCTACCAGAGTTATGAATTAATTGTTGTCTCTGTACATGTTCTATAATTCTATTTTCTTTAAGTCTTTTTAGTAACAGGTTTCTTCCTATTCATTTATATTTTCTTTGTTGTTCTGATTCTGGAAATTGCTGGCTATACATAATTTTTTAAACTTAATAACAATAACTGATGCAATCATAAATGAATTATACGTTATAGTATTTCAGCATCAGTGGATGCTGAAATAAGTCATATGATTAATCAGTTAAGTATCGATGTTAAAAAGTCTCAAGCCTTTTTTATTTAAATCTACTAACATTATATAATATTGATGTTAGTTATTCAATTGACAACAAATTGAATTTTATACCAGGAATGTTAGTGTATGGCTTACTGGCGAAGGCAAAATCTTAAAGCTGATTAGTGTATGTTTTATATAACATAAAATTTCTAAGGTTAAAGCGAAGTGAAATTTAGTTAGTATTAGGATTATCTTCTTGTCAAGAATGTAGCGGCTTAATGCAAACATTAATGATCAAATTTTTACGCTATTGACAAATTTTAATTTACTGACAATTATTATTTCACAAAGTGATTCTAGTCATTATCGTCAGTTCTGTTCATTTCACTGACACTCGTTTCATAAACACAACATTTACCAAAAATCAATTCATTGACATGTTCATTTCACCAACACTTGCAGCTATTTTCATAAATTCTGGAACACCTAAAAATTTTATTGTTTCCCGAAACCTTTTCGATCCTGTTCTAAGAATCATAGAAACACTTCGCTGTCTCTATAGTGAAGTCTCAAGGTCAGCGAAGTAGTTTTCGAAAAGCTAAGTGATTCTTAGAACAGGATCGAAAAGGTTTCAGGAAACAAAAAATTTTTAGGTGCCCCAAAAATTTATGAAAACAGCTATAATTCACCAACAAGCTCATTCACCAACATTCAATTCACTGACAATTAATTCACCGACAAAGTAATTATACAAGAATTATGATTAAAGTTAGTGAATTAAACTTGTCAGTGAATTGAGTGTTGGTGAATTAAGCTTGTTGGTGAAATGAACATGTTGGTAAATTGATTGTCAGTGGAGTATTGTGTCTACAAAATGAGTGTCAGTAAAATGAAGTGGATCTTATAATCGTTAGGATCAGGTAGAATTAAGGTTAGTGCAATTTTTAAAAAAACTTGTTAGTGAAATTTTACCTTTTGTTTCTTTTTAAGCTTGAGTTTCATTTTTCACCACATATTATTTTCATTATCTTCATAATTATTGTCACAGAGAATCAGTAATAGTTACTATAATCTGATTTAATTTACTTGGCAAAAATTAATTCAAATAATCGAATTTGCACGTTGAGAAAGTATAAGTTGCATTAGAGAAGTTATGCTAATTCTACTAAAGCGTTTCTAGAAAAAAAATATAGAAACTAATAATAAAGAAAACAAAAAAAATAATAAAATAGGTAAATTGATTTCCTCGAGCCTTTTACAACGTGTACGTGATCATACTGGTCCTGCGCTATGTCACACGCTGCGCAGCTACCCTAAGGTATATTAGGGTCATACAGATCTTTTTTTTTTTTTAGTTTTTTAGTGTTAGGCTTCGCCAAAAAGTAAACAGCATCAGGCAAATGTGCAAGCAACATTTCGGGTAAGGTATTTGATTTTCTTTTTTTGACTTTTTTTGACTTTTTACTACATTTTGACTTTTTTTTTTTTTGTCTTGTCTACTACAATTTTTATATTTCACTGAACATAGGCGAACATTAAGCAGCTTTTCAGATACATTATTTCCTTTTTTTAGT